TCTTATCAAAGATTCATCCAGTCCAATTCAATGAAATCTGTTATGGTGGGTGTGAGGACTCATGTTCCTATTGTGGGGGGCCACCAGGGGTAGAGAAGGTTAATTAAATTCACCACTGCTTTTAGTTCCCTTTGGTTGCTTTAATTAATGGTGAGACCCTGCTGCATCAATTGGCTCTGTCCTTTCTATTTCGAAAACTCCTCCTCCTGAGAAAGTTAATATTAAAATGGGCAAATAACATGTCAATTTTGCAATTCATTAAAGCCTTAGAAGGGGCAGGGTAGGTTTGGGAAGAACCCCATCTTTGCTTTAGACAAACAACAAAAACTAAAACCCCAAGAAATTCAGAAATCAATTTTCATTTGCTAAAAGGTATTTTGTGCAGAGGCATTGGAAGAGCTACCATTTTACTCGGGGGGTGGGGTGAGGTGTGTGTGTGTGTGTGTGTGTGTGTGTGTGTGTGTGTGTGTGTGTGTTTGTGAATTTCAGAGTGGAAATTGACTCTGAAAAATGGGGCATGCCTAGTACTGGGAAATTAAAATGTGGTACATTAGGTTATTTTCTCTAAAAAGAAATTTATTTTTGTTTAATATCAACCTTTCTGCATAAACAAAGGTAATTTCTTTCTAAATGGGAATTATCCTTGAATTAAGAGCAAGGACTACTTTTAAAACAGAAAAAACTATGAAAAATATTATGCCATTATTTTAATAGTTTCATTAGGTCCAGGGAGTTCTAAACACCCTAATACTGCACAGGTAGGTATGTAGAGGAGCTATGTGGGAAAGCAACTGCATTTTATTTTAAAATATAATTTACTATTATTGGAAATAATATTTATTATTATTATTACTATTATTATTATAATTGGAAACCTGAGTAAAAAGAAAAGTTTTAGACTCTGCTAAAGAAAACTACTGATGAATTAAAAAAAAAAAGACATTAAAGAAAATCTGCAAATAAACTAAGACTGCAGTGCTGCCATGCTGGCAGATGAGTTCAAGCAAATGTGGAAATTAAATATCACCATAGCAATGACAGGTATCTCAGAAATGGGTAGCTCACATTTCATGTACACTCAATGGACATTTATAACCAGGGATCTGGCAGGGCCTGGCTGTAATTCAGAAAGCAACAGACTACTAGACACCTGTCACTGACAAGGGATTTTAGGAGCACAGAACACATTTACAGCAATCATGCTTTACACTTAAATAATGCCATACAGCTTATTACCATGTTTTTGGTAAGCATTATGGTATCTGAAATAGAAACCTCAGGTCCTTTACTTACCTTTGAAGTCTCTGAGAAAAAGTCCCTGATATTTTTTCTTTTTTTATTTGACCATGAAATGGGGTCCTATTATGTTTTTATTGCCCAGAACTGTTTCAAAGGACTAATGTGCCTAGATAGAAGACTTTTAAAAATGTAAAATGCAATCTGAAAGTGTTATTATTATCATTACTAGTCACCAACAATATTGAGAACAGTGAGATTTTCACTTTCAAGTCAGGAGGGGATGTACAGAAAGGAGATAGCACTAATTCTCTTTGCTTAAAACCAGTTTTTCATGGTGGAAAATGTGGGAAAATTTTAAAAATTAAGCTATCCATATGAAAAAAAAATTTATTATTATTTATTTTTATTATTATTTATTTATTATTTTTATTTATGGGGATTTAGATTTTAAAAAGCAGGACAGAATTTCAGCCTCTGAGAAGCATGGATAATATTGGGGGAGAGAGAGAAGGGAAAATAATAAAGATCTCTTTAACTCTAAAATTTTGTAACCTGATAAGCCATGCCTTTCTCACTGCACCAAACAGCTCAGTGAAGGCATTCTAAATATGGGAAATAGCTGTATTAAAAAAAAAAAAAGAAAGAAAGAAAAAAGAAAAAGAACGCTTTTACAAGGTGGGCCGCACATCACTGTTGCACCTGGCAACATAAATAAATTATCATACAATTAATTGTGATTCACTGCATAAAGTGTCCTAGTAGAATAGCCATTATTATATATAGCATTTGCCTGTACAATTTTAATAAATGCAGCAGAACTGAAGAAACTGATCTAGTAGCCCCCTTTAATTCTTAAAACAAGGAGTCACTTCTGAATGAGGTTAAACAAGGAAAAAAAAATGTAGCCCACCAAAATTATTTAAAAAGGCAACAAAACATGGAAATAATCTATTATCAGATAGAAACCAAAAAATGTTATTGGTTTCTCTCTTTTTAAGATTCTTTGTAATGTGGGTAAGGTATTTGGGCAATAAAAATAGGAAGCATATGCACATAAACAACACATTTTTAAAGCAATGGATGAATATGAATGGCACAATCTAGAAACCATGTCAAAAGATGACATTTGACCTGCATTTTCAGTGGTAGGAATGTGTGGATGTCTTCACGTGTTGGGACTAGAAATTTAGCAAAAAGTTCTTATCCTAAATGTAACTAAGTCTTTATTCTTCCTCTTTGCTCTCTCCTCAGTCAATAACTCAGGCCCAGATGTCACTTCAGCAAGATGAAGCCAGCCTGCTGGGAAAGTAGCCTGGTTTGACAAGCTACACTGCTATGGTTTCAGGAAGCAGGTAACAAGGCCAGCTTTGGCCCAACGTACATCAGCTTGTTTTCTGTACAATGCTATATCCCAACTTGCTTGACTACCAAGACCCAAGGAGCAAAAGTATCCTAACATTTTTCCTTCTTATGTTTAATTTTTTTCCTCTGAAGACAAATTAAAGAGGGGTAAAGGGAAACTTCTAAAATTTTTAATTCCTGACCCCAGATATGAACAGTTTGCTGCAGGATTGATGGCTGCATAATGGTATGAGCCCCCATTCTTGAGAGGACAGCTTAGTGAAGATTTGCTAGGAAGAAGCTTAATTTCTCAAATATGGCAACTGAGGCTTCAACATGTAAGGGACGTTGTCAATTTGCCAAGTAGGGGTCAGGTGGGCACCATCACTTGGATCTCCTATCTGTAACCAGTTATGTCCCTCCCTCCTCCCAGTTCACAAGTTTGCTTCCCAGAACTAAGCTTGAAATATTGAAGTGGGTCTGTAATGGCAAAATCAGTACACTGTCATTGAAGGTTCTGTGGCTTTGGGGTATCTGAAATTTCAAACTACTTCCTTTTTATATGTTTTTGGGTGAATGATAATGTCATTGTTTCCCCAGGAAGGCATAAATAAGATGATAACATGGAAAACTGTGATTTGCAGGAGACACATAACAACAGCACAGTTATGTCAATACTGTCATTAATAAAAACCATCACATATTTTAAAATATTTAACAAACAAATGTGGCACAGCATGAGAAATTGTGATCTTGAAATCCCTTGAAAGGTCTTAGAAAACACAAAAGTTGATTATGGAGCTTTACTTTTCAAATTTCATTTAAGTCACAGATTCAGACCAGTGTTAACTGATGCTTTACTTAACTGTGGCAAAAAGAGTTAATATCCCAGATTTGACATAAGCTGTCTGCAGTGGAGGGAAGGGCCTGTAGAGGGATGGGGGCACTGAGAGCTGGGGAAAGGTGGAGGGGGGAAGGTGAGGGCCTCCAGAAGCATTCTTTTAGATGATAGTATTTTAAGTTTAATCAACAAGACCCTTTTATTTATTTATTTATTTATTTATTCAAAGCCTATTGGCAGAAGACCTTACCTGTAAGCCTTTTGCCCCCAGCTAAAGCTGCTTGAAAAAATTCACATGCAAACACATATCATAAGTCATAGTCACAGTTTTCCATACTTTGTCCACATACTTAAAATGCATTTGGAACATTTAATTTTTTTTTAAATTTTAATTGTATTTCAACACAAGACATTCCACTCCCAACACCAACTCCCATTTTTTTTAAACCAAGCCCCTCCTACTGTATTCCTTGTATAAGTGTAAATGATTGGCTTACCTCGGGCTCTTCGCTAGTAAAAATAATTATATCATATTTTAAAAACATAGCCACGCCCACCCCCTCAGAACCAGTCCCTTGTGGTTTTGGATCTGGACTTGCCAACCGTGGGTTGTGTTCCCCCCGCCCCCTCCAGCCTCCCACCAGGTAAGGAGAGTGTGTGGAGAATACAGAAATTATGTTTGCAGCCCCAGAGCCCCAGATACCTGTGTGTCTGGTTTTTCAACCGTAAAGGCGGGAGGGTTTGGCGAACGAATGAGAAGTGAGGAAACGCTTAGCGCAAAGGGAAAAAGAGAGAAAGACATACAGGAAAAAGGTTATGGAGGCCCTCGAGAAGCGACCCCTCTTCCCCCGGCCAGCGGCCCAGCGCATTACCCAGGATGCCCCGCCACCTCTCCCTGCATTTTCGCGCCGCTCGCTCGCTGCAGAGCGACCGCGCACAGGTACCACTGGAGTGCGTGAACACGGAAAGTTTTTGCCCGCGCCATGGCGCAAATCACAAGACAGCCTGTTCTCAGGTACAAGTACACAGTCGGCGGGTAATTTGGGGGTGCTGGGGATGGGAATTGGGGAACACTTGAGCGCAACATGCACAGGCGACACAAAATATGGACACCAACACACACCAACAACAAGCTGACTGAGTCAAAGCAGCCGTGCCAGGCGAGGCGGGGACGCGCCTTCCCCAATGACCCCAGCCCACCATGACCCCAACCAACATAGCCAGGGGAGACCAGAGGCCCCTCCCCGGCAGTTCCTGGCTCACCTGAAGCCCCCGCCTGTCCAGCTTACGGTCGCTGGCGCTGGCGCTGGCCTCTCCAGCCGGAAACGACCCCCAGTGTCGCTCGGCTTCACTTTTCTCCCTGGAGGGCACATACTTCGGCCACCCGAACCCACCCAAATCCCTCCCGCTCCCAGGGCAAAGTTAGGGTCCCTCCCTTGAACTTCTAGCAGGATCTTCCCGCCTTTGTCCGGACCCCTCCTCCCACTGTTGAGCCCCAAGACCCACCGGGCAACCCTGCCACCCCCTCCCCGGGTACCCTGGCGGCCCTGCTGCCCACAGGCAGAGTCCGCCGCATTACCTAGAAGCAGCAGGCGGTGTGTACACATGTAACCCATCTTCTCGCCCTGAAGTTGCTTGTCGATGAGCTTGCTGCGTTTCTTCGCTGCGCGCTTCTGGGCGCGCATCTCAATGGCTTCTTTGCGTATCTGTCTGCGCTTCTCCGCCAGAGATACCTTCTTGGCCTTGGTGGGGCTCGCAGGGGCTTTGGGCTGGGGACTCTCAGAAAGACCGAAGCAGCCTCCGAAGGCTTGCACGAGGAAGTTGCGGAGTAAGTTGCGCCGGGGCTTTCGGCGACGGCGATTTCGGCGCTGCAACCACTGGAAGCAGCCGGAGGTCCCATCTTCGGACTCATCGCTGGAGGAATCGTCGTCGCCGATTGCCTCCTCCTCATACCTGCTGCAGCCTCGGCCACGCTCAGCCCTAACCTGCCAGGCAGACGCCCGAATAGGCCGCGGAGTAGGCGGGTCAGCAGCCTGGATCTCGGGGCTGGGGGGTCTAAGGTGATGGAGATTGCGTCTGGCCCCTGAGACATAGCCGGCAGCGGCTGCCCGGGCGGCAGCGGCTGCCCGGGCGGCAGCGGCTGCTCGGGCGGCAGGAGGGATACGGGCTGCAGTGACTGCCCTGGGGATTGGTTTTGCTGGGGCAGCAGGGACTCTTCTGGCACCAGGATCTTTTGGGGCGACAGAAGCTGCCCCGGTGCCGGGATCTGCTGGGGTGACAGGGGCTCCCTGGACATCTGGATCAGCTGGGGCTCCCTGGGCGGTATCTTTTTCAGCTGGTTCTCCCTGGGCAGCATCTTTTTCAGCTGGGGCTCCCTGGGCAGCATCTTTTTCAGCTGGGATGGCGGGAGCTGTCCCGGCGTCTTGATCGGCTGGGGCGACCGGGTCTCCTCCGGCATCTGGGTCTCCTCCGGCATCTGGGTCTTCTCCGGCATCTGGATCAACTGGGGCTCCCTGGGCGGTGTCGGAAGCGGCTGGAACAGCAGGGTCTGCCCCGGCATCAGGATCTGCTGGCGTGGCAGGGTCTGCCCCAGCGTCCGGATCGACTGGGGCGTCAGGGTCTGCCCCAGCGTCTGCATCTGCTGAGGCTGCTGGGGCTGCTCCGGTGTCAGGATCCGCTGGGTTGGTGTCAGGATCCGCTGGGTTGGTGTCAGCATCCGTTGGGTCGGCAGGGTCTGCCCGGATGTCGGGATCGGGATCGGCTGAGGCGGTAGGGGATCCGTCCCCTGGAGAGGGGACTTTTCCTTCCTCCGCAGCAGCGGTAGCCGAGCCTCCTTCCATCTCGGCTGCTTCTCCCTCAACTGGGGGTCTCTCTGCTCGCTCTCTCTTATCTGGGGCTCCGGAGACCTCGATGGGCGGGCCATCATTCGCGATTGGGGGGCTGTCCATGTTGACGGGAGCGTCGTCGACCCCATTGGGGGCGCTGCCAATCTCGAGCGGGGGTCCGGAGATCTCCATCGGGGGGCTATCGACCGCGAAGTTAGAAGCAGGTCTGATAGCTTCTCCGGCTGGGCTGCCGATGGCGCCTGGGACCCAGAGGGCTGGCGCGTTTGCGGAGGGAGCGAGGCTGACCGCACTCGGGACCGCGATTGCCGTGAACTGGCTGCCACCGACGACTTGTGGGATAACTCGGGGGAGCCCGGGAGGTGGGCTGTCATCCCCAAATGCTTCTCTATCAAGCTCAAATGGCATAGTCTCTTCAAGGGGAGGGCTACATCCTCCTCTGAAGCCAGCATTTGCAGGCTGGAGGACTCTGGGCTCCTCTGGAGGAGCTCCAGGGACCCTTGCACCTGGGCCTCCCGGAGCAAGGTCTGGGACCTGTAAGAGAGGTTGGCTGCAGACTCCCTGGGTAGGCTGGTCGAACTCAAAGGGCATAGCTTCTTCTGGTGGAGGACTGTATCCTCCCAGGCCTGGTCTTTCACCCCTGAAGGTTCCGGGCTCCATGAGTGCTGGGCTGAAGGCCTCGAGGCCTGCAGGGGGCCCAATGGGGAACCCAGGCATCTCCTGGGTAGGCCAGAAACCTCCCAAGCTGGGCTGCTCGACCTCGAAGGGCATGGCTTCCTCAGGAGGTGGGCTGTAGCCTCCGCTTGCTCTGGCTTCCTCGAAGGTCTCGTTGAGGCCCTGGAAGTTAGGCCTGGAGACTTCTGGGGGTCCACAGGCCTCGTCACTCTCGGTGGGGATGGGCTCATTGTGAGGCGATTGGGTCTCCATCTCTTCGGCTGGGCTAGGCCCAGCACCGGGGGCAGCTGCCCCTGGGGCCTCCAAGGGTGGTTGCTCGGGCTGTTCCCCGATTTCAGGGGGGATATTGCGTTGTCCTGACATATTATTGCCGTCGAGGCGGTTGCGCATGCCCATAACAGGGTGGCGGTCTCTTAAAATATATTGGGGCTCCGTAAGACGGAGCACCCAACCAAACTAGGGTCAAAAATTATTTTCAAAAAATATCAAAGTACTAGTTGGAAAGTTCTCCAACCTTATTTTCCAACCCTTATGAGGTTGGGGACTCAGAACCTGGAATCCCTGACCATGGCAGAAGCAACTCGGTTCTTGCTGGTGGAGTCTTGACTCCTTCCTGGTCACTTTTATCCCCTCAGGCTGTCCCCTGGCCAGCCACCCCTTGGCCTACCCTTGTTGCCCTCTTCTCTTTCAATGCTCCAGGCCAGCTCCGCCTGCTTGAATATGAGGAGCGTGCCGATTCGGTCCGAAAATCGCCAGTTGCGCGCTCTCTCTGCCACCAGAGGACGCCGGTCCCGGTGAAGAGCTGGATCCGGCTCCAGGAGACCGCTTCAGGCTCCAGCAGCCCCGGACTTTGGGTAAGGGGGCTGATGAGCGCAGGCCTCGCAGGGATGTTTTGGCTCCTTCCTCTCCTCTCCCTGACTGATTTGGAGTCTTTCTCCTCGCCTCTCCCTTGGCCAGAGAGAAAGCGCTCCTGCGTTGCAGGACACGTGACCAAGACGTGGGCCTCGGGATGCTGGAGTACAGGAGCTGAAACCCTCCCTCCCCAACTGATTCTCCGGGGGGGGGGGAGGGACTGCAGGAGGGTTTGTATCACCCCAGAATACCTTTGAACCCCTTAGCTGAACCCCCAGTCCCAGGCAGCCACAGATCTTGAGCTCCAAGTACGGAGAATGAGGCTGCAGATGTCTGGGAAGGGGGTATTAATGCGCGCACCGGAATGCGACAGGTGGTCGTGAGCCCACCAGAGGGGTGGAGAGGAGACGTGGATGAGGGGCTGCAAAGTGCGAACACATCATTTGTTTTGAAGACGTTCTAGGTTACTTTCTGCTGCTTTTGCAGCTTTTGTTTGTCGTTTGCCGAGACTGGCTCCGGTAAAGCACTTAAATATCCCCCAACCCCTTCACGCTTTCGGGGTCTCGGCAGTGGCCTCGTGTGGCGCAGGCAGGATTCTCCAGTTTATGTGGATGGTGACGCAGGGGAATAAAAGAGGGTCTTAAGCGTGCATGACAGAGAATCTAGCAAAGCCCCCTAGGTGGAAGCTGCCGCCGCAATGATGGGGGAGACGGTGCGGGGCACACAGTGAGACCCTACCCAGCTCAGGCCTTAGACTTCCGCATCCTGGGAAAGGGTTAAAGAGGGTTTTTGTAGAGGTTTATGGCCGATTTAGGGTGGTCTCAAAGACTAGAAAACGCTACGCGCCTAACCCACGGTTTCTCGACCGTGCCGCGCCGGCAACGGCGGCAGCGATGCGCTGATTCCGGCTTCGGGCGCCAGCTACAGCTGGCTGCAGGGTCGGTCCGCCAGTACCTCTAATCAATCTCTAGCCCCCTGCCAGTCCGTCTCCTTCCGGGTATGATCCTAAAACACCCGCTTTACTTTTCCACTGTTGTAGTTTGCCGAGGTGGCACTAAGCGCGGCCACAAACCCAGCGCTCGCCCGCAGAGCTGCGCGCCTCTTCCGGAACCACGGTGGACTCCAAACCCACAGAGGGTAAATAACCACATCACCTGGTGGGCTCGATGCATGAACACACACTGCTTTGGGTCTGGCGTCTGCAGAGGGATTTGAGTCTGGGGGAAAATTGCCGCTCCTAGATCACGTAAAACCCGGCACGCACGCATCGTGGTCAGTCTCACTAGCAGGTGACAGGGATTTTCAAACCTCCTTCAGTTGCAAGAGTAGGTGGGCAGCGGGCAGTGATCACCTTGCCCGCAGAATTTGTGGCGGAGGGACGCCAGATGAGTGTTACGCGAGGTGGGCTGCGGCAAGAAAGGCGCGCCGCACAGATCGCGGTACACGCGCCTCAGGCAGAGGAGCTACTGCACGGTCTGGTTCCGCTAAGTTTAATGTATCCTTCTTTGAACCAGGGTACCACCGCCACGGCACACTATTGTCCCTCTGTACCACCATCCACGTGGCCGCGCTGCGCGGAGGAAAGCTGACAAAGTCGGCCTGTAGGTAACGTTTGGGGTTTCCCAAGGGCATAATGCCTCAGCTCTTTGGGTCTACACACTTCCTGATGGCAAGACTGAACTTTGGTTCAAAGTTTGGCCAACTACCCTCATGGTCGATGGATTAAGCATTTAAGAATCCACTGAATGGGCCCACTGGGTACCAATAAGCAACTCACTCCCCTACGACCCCAACACCGGGTCAGCTATTGGGCTGGGGTCACGCCAATCAAGGCTGCCTGGCGAATGAGCAGGGGGCGTCGGACCGGAAACCGGATATGGGTGGGAGGTCCAATAGGGGGCGCCGCGTTGGAACGCCCAAAGAGGTTGTGCTGTTGGGGTGGTTGGAAGCGGTTGGTGGGCGGGCGTACAGCGGCCAGGCCTGGAAGGCCACGAGGATAGCTAGCGCCGTGGGGTCAGTCTTTCTGATCCACAAGTCGCAAAGGCCAAGTGAGGAGGTCGGGGGCTCCCAGGGGCCAATCCTTGGTTGGGTTCGCTGATGGCGGTAGCCTAGCCTACCCAACAGAGAGACCGCTGCCGTGGCAAGGCGAACACACTGAAGATTTCCAGGGCCTGGAAGTAGTGGGCCGGGACCCTGGGGAGAGAGCTTACTGCCCCGATGCAGAGGAGCAGTCCAGGATGAATAAGGAGTTGAGGCCCCAGGGATGCTGAGCCCTGCACAAGTGGAAGGTCAGTAGACGTTGGGGTTGGAGCCCCAGCGAAGCTGAGATGGGGACTCCAAAGGGATGGTTTGGTCTCGCCACACCTTGCGCCCACTTCCAGAGCACCATTCATGGAAAAACGGATTCAAGGTCTCATTGGCCTGTGGGGCCCCTTTGTTCCACATTCTTTCTTGTATCATGGTTCTTTGCTAGGGGAGTACCTTGAGAGGATAAAGATTGGGCAGATACCAATCCCTCCTCCTAAGATACAGGGGAACATAAAAATGAAAGGAAAGATCTTTAATTAAAGGAACCTTGAAAGTCATGATGGCAAAAATGGCGTTTCAAATGGGTTCTGTGGAAGGACAAACACCTTAGCTGTGAATAGAAGGGGGCGGGGTTACGTTTGCCTATTAGGAACAAAGGACCCAATGGTAGGAAACTTGGAGCATGGCTGGGTAAATAGAACAGGCCACTTTTGATTGCTAATCTGAGTTTATGCTGTCTACCTTTCTTCTAAATTTCAGACCTTTCCTCCCAAATAATGGGCTGTTAAAAATCTTCACCAGGCTGCCCATATTGGAGGAGCAGTGAGAGAGAAGGCAAGGCAAACTGGATTGGATCTCTCTCAGGATGCCATGGAGCACCCAAGCAAACACCTTTGAGGCTGTTTTATTAGAAAATGAAAAGGCATTGAAAGTTTTTTGTCCTACAAGTGAGGAATTGAGCTAAGTTTTAGTAAAGGTAGAAGCAATGTGGAAACTGGGCCTGATGAAGAGAACAAAGGAAAGGGGTCATGCACCCAGGAGGCTGAGGGTGCCCCTGACTGTTAAAAAGAGACCCAGACACAATGAAAGAATTAGGAAGGCACTTAAGAGGAACATAAAAGGTGAAGAAGTCAAAGATGGGCATTGGGATGATGGGATATTGGGAGTAGGACAAGAAAGTGAGGGGAGGACCTGGAGAGGAGTTGGTAAAGATGGTGGGTTGGTAAAGATGGTGGAACCAATTTGATTTCAGACATGGCAGAGATGAAGAAGGATGGGCAGTCTGGTGGAGATTTTTAACAACCCATTATTTGGAAGAAAGGATCTGAAGTTTAGAAGAAAGGTGGAGAACCAGAAACTCAGATTGGCAATCAATCTTCCTAGAATTTCAGATCACTGGATCAGAGAAAACTCTCCAAGGAAGAAATATATTTGGTGATAGAACAGTTGGAGAATTGGACAGGAAAAAGCTAGGTAGTCCAGGAGAAAGCAGGGAGGGTTCAGATGAGATGTGGGACCACACCAAGGGAAGGGGTTTTAGAACCAGTGAGTAAACCCTAGTTTGTGATTCCTCAGCCTCTGCACTGGTGACAGATATTTGGATGTGGGTAACTGCTGTGGTGACTGTCCTGTGTGTTGCAATTTGCTGAGCAGCATCCCTAGCCTCTACCCACTAGATGCCAGTAGCATCCCCTTAGTTGTACAACCAAAAATGTCTCCAGACTTTGCCAAATATCCTCTGGGGTGCAAAATCACCCCTGGTTGAAAATACTGTTATAAGCTGAGAAAGAACCCATAGACTTGAAATAACCTTAATTTTTAAGATAGATTAGTATCAAGAAGAAAAAAATCTCAATATTTAAACCGAAAGTTTCCCTTTTTGTTTTTTACTCTTGTTTATTTTTCTATAGAGACTCTCAGAATTTGAAAACCCCTAATTACCTGGATAAGTGGGGGCTGAGAGCTGAAAAACTTAATGCATCTTAATGCCTATCAGTAGTAGGGCTTGAGAGACCCCAGAAGTGTGGGCAGATGTTTGAGGACCTGTCAAGACAGCTGGGTGACCTGGCTAAAGAGGAAACTGGTATGGTAAGAACTGGCTGATCTGCAAGTGGATTGACTAGGGGTCCCCTTGACCAGTTGTCTGTCTGATGATTCTTCTTAGGATTGGTGATCTTGCTGGCAACCCTACTGGGGTCATTGTTTTTAAAGCCAAAGGAACTTAAATGTATATTTCCAATTCCAAATGGATTTGCATCAGTTAAAGATAAATTTTTGAGATATATTAATAGGAATAAGGAAGTAAAGGCTGCTAATGGGTTCATGCAGCTAAGGAAGAGTAAGTCAAGAAGACTAGTGCCCAAAAAAAGGCTGAGGAGGGATGAAGGACAAGAGCTGTGGCCTGGTCCAAATGGGGAACTCGCTAGATTGAAGGACTGCATGAGATGGTGTGTGGATTATAGGAGGAACTGGTTTGTTATCAAAGTCCAGGTGACAGTTTCTGGAAACTGCAGATTATCTATATTTGATGA